CCTCCCCTCCCTCCTCCCCTCCCTGTTCCAGCCCCACTAGTCCCTTTTACTCGTTTCACCATAATAACCGGTTCCAACCCCTCTGTCCTGCCCACTTCACCCCCTCCTCCACCCAGCCCCCGCTTCCTCTTGCCTCCCGCTCCTGCTCCGCCCATACTCCCCTCAACCCCCTCTTGAACCTCCCCTTGCACTCCCTCCCCCTGAGCCCCCTCTGCTCTTAACACACTCATTCTTCCTTCCCCACTCTCTCCTCCTCCTGCTGCCCCCATCCCTGTTATTCCCCCCACAAGCTCCCCTACCCTGACATCCCCCCTCCCTGCCACCCCATCTCCCATTTGCTCTCCCTTAACCCTACTCTCATTCGCTGCAACCACATCCCCTACTGCTCCTTTCCTCGCATATTTCTTCCTCACAAAATCAATCGCTGCAACAGTCATTCCTTCCCCTTCCTCTCTGCACAACCCCTCCCCTCGTTCTCCTACCCCTCCTTCCCGCCCATTATCCGTACCTCCCCCCCCAGCCACCACCCCGGCCACCACCCCAGCCTGTCCCCGAACCTGCCCGCGAGCCTGACCTCCCCGAACCTCCCCCTTTCCCTGTCCCTGCCCCTGCCCCTGTGCCTGTCGCTGCGGCAGCAGCACTTTTATGACTCGCCTTCGATGGTAAACTATCGGTAGAACTCCCACCCCCCTTGCACCAGCTGCCCCCCTCCCTCCTCCTGCCTTTCCCGCCTTAGCGACACGCACAAAACGACCGTTCTGCCCTCTAGCAAGGGCAGAACCAGCAGCACCCCGGGCAGCAGCAGCAGCAGCAGCAGCAGGGGAACGCAGTGGCTGCTTCTTTGCTCCCAGCCTAACCCGCTCCACTCCTGCCGCTCCTGCTGCTTCTGCCGCTGCCGCTCCTTCTCCCTCTGCTCCACACCCGTCGTTGTCCTCCCCCTGCTGCTGCAACTCCTGAGAGCTCCCAAGATTGCCGCCCAGAAAACAACCACCAGCATCATCAGCATCAGCAGCGGCATCACCAGCAGCAGCGGCAGCCATAGATTCGGGGTGGTGCAGAGTGGTGGAGTCGTCGTCCGGGCAGAGGAGAGCGAGCGGAGGGGGAGGGACAAAGAGCCCCATGTCAATGCACACGCTGTCACCGATGCAGTAGCAGGGGCGGGCCTTGAGGCCCACTTGCACCCACCTGCTAGCACAGGGGTCGTGGATGGGAGAGGGAAGAGGGGGGATGGGATGGGATGGGGTCAGGAGCGAGCAGAGCGGGAGGGAGGGGGCGGGGGGAACAAAGAGCCCCATGTCAATACACACACTGTCACCGATGCAGTAGCAGGGGCGGGCCTTGAGGCCCACTTGCACCCACCTGATCGCATAGGGGTTGTGAAGAGGAGAGGGGGGATGGGATGGATAGGGTCAGGAGCGAGCAGAGCGGGAAGGCGGGGGGAATACACACACGCTGTCACCGATGCAGTAGCAGGATGTAAAAGGTGAGTTTTTGAGACGTCTCAAACGCTCTGTGTCTCGAGTACACACACGCCGTCACCGATGCAGTAGCAGGGACGCTCCTTTAGGCCCACTTGCACCCACCTGATCGCAAAAGGGTTATGAAGAGGAGTCAGAGGGGATGGGATGGGGTGAGGAGCGAGCAAAACGGAGGAGGGGGGGGACAAATAGCCCCATGTCAATACACAAACTGTCACCGATGCAGTAGCAGGGTCGCTCCTTTAGGTCCACTTGCACCCACCTGATCGCACAAGAGTCGTGGCTGGGAGAGATGGATGGGATGGGGTGAGGAGGGAGGTGCAGTGCAGCGTGGTTAAAGAGGAGCGATATGAGACACACAGAGCGATCGGGGCACAGTAGTCCCACTTGCACCACCAGGGTTATGGGCAAGAAAGAGGGGGTCTAGTTGGGAGGGAGGAGGGAGAGGAGGGAGTGGGGAAGGGGCGGGAAAGGTGCTGGGAGAAGAAGGACGGGAGCGGGGTGATTGACAACAGGAAGATGCGTTTTTTAGGCGCCTTGAAAAGCTGGGAAGGAGGCGATTGGGCAACAGGAAGATGCAGGCAGGCAGTCACACGGATGCTTGCCTCCTGTGCCATGGTGACTTTTGAGTCGACTCAAAAGTGACACGGATGCTTGCCTCCTGTCCTGTGCCATGCTGCCGCTTGCACATGTAGAATGCTGAACAAGGGAATGATTTATAATGCTCCTACGATCAAACGTATACACAAGAGTGGGTGCCGAGGAAAGAAGAGGCTAAGCAGAGAATCGCGGAAGTCAGCTGAGACAAGGAATCTCAGCATAGCTCACTCACTCACTCACTCACTCACTCACTCACTCACTCACTCACTCACTCACTCACTCACTCACCGTTTGGTGGCGAAGTTGGTTGATTCTGCGCAGTTGAACCCCAGATTGAAGCCTGCATGGTACACACCTGGACGCACATACAGATGCACATGTACATGCACATGCGTGCATACACACATCCGCACATACACACACACACACACACACACACACACACACACACACACACACACACACACACACACACACACACACACACACACACACACACACACACACATACAGATGTGCAGAAAAACGCACAGAGAGGTGTCAACATTCAGGGGTGAACAACACAGCAAAACCATGTTCGTAGTTCTTAGTGTATCGCGTGATGCACCCATAGCAGTTACACATTCACCTGCCATGGTTTCGCAACTGTTGGTTGGCTTACCCAAAAAGCACATAGGGGTGAACAACACAGCACAGCAAAACCACGTTCGTAGTTCCTAGTGTATCGCGCGATGCAACCATAGCAGTTACATGCACCTGCCAGCCATGGTTTCGCGACTGCTGGTTGGCTTACCCAAAAAGCTCATAACGAGTAGCCGTGGCTGCTGCCTGCCAGGGCAACTTGGAGAACACAGGCCATGGCATCGACTTTTGAGACGACTCAAGTCAAGAATAGCCGCTTTTGGCATCGACTCAAAAGCTGGCTGCTGCGGGACCTTGGAGAACAGGCCATGGCATGGCTTTGCGCCTACTGCTGGGCTGGGCTGGGCTTACCCGGGAAATTGATGACGAACTGCCGGGGCTGCTGCAGCACTCTTAAAGCCCAAGACCTGAATTACTCAACGGAACTCAACGGGGGGCAAAACTGCCTGCTCGGTACGCAAACTGTGCACAGTTTGCCTCCTTTTTTTAAATTCGGGTTTTGGGCTTTAAGGGACGGAAGGAATGTTGTGCTTCTGAGGCGCCTCAGGAGAACAGGCCATGGCATGGTTTTGCGCCTGTTGGTGGGCTGGGCTGGGCTGGGCTTACCCGGGAAGTTGATGACGAACTGCCATGGCTGCTGCAGCACCTTTACTTGAGGAACGGGATGTTGTGCTTCTGAGGCGCCTCAGGAGAACAGCCCATGGCATATGGTTTTGTACCTGTTAGTAGGGTGGGCTTCTGGGCTTCTGGGCTTACCCGGGAAGTTGATGACGAACTGCCGTGGCTGCTGCAGCACCTTGAGGAACGGGATGTTGTGCCGCTGCAGTAGCTGCGGGGTCACCAGCGTCTCCTGGTAGCACACACAAGAGTGAGCGAGCGAGCGAGAGAGAGAGGGAGGGAACACACAAGTTGAGCTATTTATGAGAATTCTCAGAAGTAACTCAAACGATGTTGTGCTGCTGCAGTAGCTGCGGGGTCACCAGCGTCTCCTGGTAGCACACACAAGAGCGAGCAGGCGAGCGAGCGAACGAGAGAGAACGAGCCAACGAGAGTGTATTAGAACGAGTTTTGTACGCGCCTCAAATACAGCTGCGGGTCACCAGGGTCTCCTGGTGACACACACAAGAGCGAGCAAGCAAGCACGGGAGAACGAAAGTGTGTGTGAGTGAGGGGGAGGGAGAGGGGGGGAGGGTGGGAAGGAGGGAGCGAGGGAGGGAAGGAGAGAGGGAGAGAGAGTGGGAAGGAGGGAGCGAGGGAGGAAGGAGAGAGGGAAAGAGAGTGGGAAGGAGGGAGTGAGGGAGGAAGGAGAGAGGGAAAGAGAGTGGGAAGGAGGGAGTGAGGGAGGGAAGGAGAGAGGGAAAGAGAGTGGGAAGGAGGGAGTGAGGGAGGGAAGGAGAGAGGGAAAGAGAGTGGGAAGGAGGGAGTGAGGGAGGGAAGGAGAGAGGGAAAGAGAGTGGGAAGGAGGGAGTGAGGGAGGGAAGGAGAGATTGAGAGACCGAGGAGGGACGAAGGCAAGTGCGGATGGTGGGGCACAGAGAGAGAGGGGAGCACCCACCCATCTAGGTTGGAATATACGCGTCTAGCGTATATACGCGTTTTGTATATACACTAGCGTTTGCACGCTATACGCTGGAGTGGTCTGATCGAGGATACACTTTTTTGGGCAGGAAAAAAACTTTCCCGGGCAGGGTAAAAATCGCAGTCGTCAACATCAGGGAGGTATTCCCTGTTCTCACTAAGACTTTCGTAGGATTTTACTAAGTCTGAACGGCGATTGGGGTGGGATGTGGAGTAGACACTGTCGCTAGTAGGAATCGGAAGGATCGCAAGCGGGAATGTAAACTAGAATGACCAGTGGAGTTTTGCTGGCTGGTAAATAGCGTGAGTGGGGTTTGTTGGGGGACATTTTTGAGAGGTAGGGGTTCGTAGATGAGGTTGGTTTCAATGCGGTACTAAACGAATATTCAATTTTGAACTCCTGCAATCTTCAAAGGCACATTCCCGCTTCCCTATACCGTCGAATTGCATTCCGACTTCGGCGAAATGCTCAGCAGGAAATTCCGCATCTTTCTGTATACACGCGATTTTTTTTCCAGACAGCCCCTAAAACATTCTGACTGCGTATAGTGTATTAGCTAGCGTATCGCGTTTTGCGTATACACGCTAGCGTATGAACACTGTACACTTTAGGGTCTGAGCGTATATTCCAACTTAGCCACCCATCAACCCACCCGCGTGCATTGAGGTGCAAGATTTAATGGAAATAAGGCCTCCGCAGCCCACCTGTTCTATTTCGACAGCTCCCACCCGCGTGCATTGAGGTGTATTTTGAGGCGCCTCAAAATATACCTCAAGTGCGGATGGTGGGGCACAGAGAGGGGCGCACCCACCCATCAACCCACCCACCCACCCACTCCCCCACTCCCAACCACTCCCACTCCCACCCACTCACCTTGTGACACAGGAACTCGGGGCACTGCTTGAACCAGGCGTGTTTAAAAAGAAACCAAATGTACTTCTATACCCACTCCCACCCACTCCCACCCACCCACTCCCACCCACTCCCACCCACTCACACCCACCAACCCCCAGCCCCACCTTGTAGCGCAGGGACTCGGGGCACTTCTTGAACCAGGCGCGTGTTGCGGAAGCAGATGTGATCCTGCACCCACACCCACCCACCCACTCACACCCACCCCAACAATCCTACCCACGCACCCCCACCCCAACACTCCCAACCACTCCCACCCCCACCTTGTGGCGCAGGAACTCGGGGCATTGCTTGAACCAGGCGCGGGTTGAGAAGCGAGATGTGCTCCTATACCCACCTCCACCCACTCCCACCCACCCCCACCCGCTCAAACCCGCTCCCCCCCACCTTGTGGCGCAGGAACTCGGGGCATTGCTTGAACCGCGCTGGTTGCAGCCCCTGTAGCAGCCGCTCGAAGCGTGCCTTGGCATCCGGAGGCACCACATACCTGGGGGTGCGGGACAGCAAGGGGGCGGGGGGGGAGGAGGGAGGAGGGGACGCGAAGAGGGTGGGGTGGGGGGGTTTAGTTGCAGCCCCTGCAGCAGGAGCTCAAAGCGTGTCTTGGCATCCGGAGGCACCACGTACCTGGGGGGCAGCAAACAGAGGGCGGGGATGGGGGAGGGAATGGGCGGTAGGGGAAGCAGAGCGGGTGGTGGTTTGGGGTTGAGTTGACTCAAAGAAAGCAGCCGCTCGAAGAGTGCCTTGGCATCTGGAGGCACCACGTACCTGGGGGGGACAGCCGGGGGGGGGGGGGAGAGGGGGAGGGAGAAGGGGGGGAAGGGGGGAGAGGGGAAGCGAGGCCAGGGTGGAGATTTTGGGGTTTAGTTGACGCAAGAGAGCAGCCGCTCGAAGCGTGCCTTGACATCCAGAGGCACCACGTACCTGGGGGACGGGGTGGGATGGGGAGGGGTAGCGGGGGGAGGTAGATAGGGGCGAGCGGGGAAAACATGGATAATGATCTGGAAAGAAGGGGGGAGAAGGGAGAAAGGGGAACGGGGTAATTCAAAGGAAGGGGGGGAGGGAAGAGGGGGGGGGGCGAAGGGGGAAACGAAGGGAACGGGGAGGCAAGAAGGAAGAACGGGGGAAGACATTCCCCAACCATTCCAACTTGCTCTCACCCCAACAAGCCCTAACTTGATGCTCACCCCAACTTGAGTGGTCACCACCACGACTTGCTACCACTCACCAGAACTTGGGCGCTCCAAAGTGCAGGTAGTTGACACTGTACAGGTCCATGTCCTCTGTGTGCCTGCATGCATGCACAGACACACATGCACGCACCAACAGACAAGCGGGAAACAGGCGGACAGATTGTTTGTGAGTTGAGACACCTGGGCTGGCCACACTCATACCAGAGTGCAGGTAGTTCACATCACACTGTATTTTGAGTCGACTCGAAACATGACTGTACTGTATAGGTCCATGTCTTCTGTGTGCCTGCTTGCATACATGCATACATGCACGCACGCACACATCCACCCACAGAAAATGTCAACCGATACTGTTAGATTCGAGCCGACTTCCTAACCAAACCAAACACATCCCCTCCTCCTTGCTCACCGAATCCCACTCCCCCCTTCCTCTCCCTCCCCTCCCCATTCCCCCCCTCCCCTCCCCATTCCTCCCCCTCCCCTCCCCATTCCTCCCCCTCCCTTCCCCCTTCCTCCCCCTCCCTTCCCCATCCCTTCCCCCTACCTTCCACCTCGCTTCCCCCTAACTTCTCCCTCCCTTCCCCCTCCCTTCCCTCTCCCTTCACCCCCTCCCAATCCGCCCTCTCAACATGCGAAGAGCGAGCGCCACATGCCAAAGTAGAGATACGGCGTCGTGACTCCCGGTATCTGCAAAGATGGCACACACACGCCACGCCGTACACATCCCTTGCCCCTCCCTTCCCCCTTCCCCCCCCCTCCCCCCCTCCCTCCCACCTCTCTCACCATGCAAAGAGCGAGCGCCACATGCCGAAGTAGAGATACGGGGTGGTGACTCCTGGTATCTGCATTCCTGCTGTCTCGAGCGTGCGCGATAGCAGCGTTGACAGGCACCCCACGTTCCAGCCCTGGCAGAGGGGAAGACGGGAAGAGGAACATGGGAAAGCGGGGAAGCAATTGGGGCGCACAGCATGACCCCCCACACCACACCCCCAGAATCTGCATGCCTGCTCTCTCGAGTGTGCGCGATAGCAGCGTTGACAGGCACCCCACGTTCCATCCAGCCCTGGGGAAAAGGGGGAGGGAAGGATGAGCGGAAGCGGGGCGATGAGGACGGAGGGAAGGGGGGTAAGGAACTGGGGTCACAACATAACCCCCATGATAGATGCATGCCTGATGTCTCAAGCATGCGCGATAGCAGCGTTGACAGATATCCCACATTGCAGCCGAGCAAGAGGGGGAAGGGGAAGTGGAAGGGGAAGTGGGAAGCGGGAAGAGCGGGAAAGGATTTGGACCTGTTTCTGTTTCTCCTTCCCACTGCCCACCGGCTGGGGGGGCGACGGGTAAACGGCAGATGGCAGACAACTGACGGCTAGCCGTCAGCCTTGAACTGCTGACTGACGGACGGCGTCAGTGAAGTGAAGCGGTTGACTGAAACGGCCGGTTAGCTCACTGAACGTGTTCCCAGTCTGTTTTGGCCCGAGTCCGAGTGACTGAGCGACGCTCACTCGCACTCGCACTCGAGCCCACGCGCACACGTGAACCCAAGCTCTTGTATGCGCATACCCATGTGGGAACTCATGACCTATGCGCGCACACTCACATGCGTGCGCGCGCGTGCACACACACACACACACACACACACACACACACACACACACACACACACTGATATGCACACATGGTAACATGCACACACGGTAACATGCACACACGGTAACATGCACACACAGTAACATGCGCACACGGTAACATGCATACACGCTAACATGCACACAAGCACACTAGTTGACTAGTGTGCCGTAGAGCGGCGAGGCGACTAGTTGACTTGAGAGTCAACCCACTCACAACTCGACTCATACACCATCAGCACCCCTACCACCACCCTTACCATCCCCACCATCACCACCCTTACCACCCCCACCAGCACCACCCACCTGCACATCAGCGTCAAAGAACGAGCCGAGCCCGTCAGCGCCATAGAGCGGCGGCGAGTTGATCCACTCAAACGTCAACCCTTACACCCCTACCACCACCACCACCACCACCACCACCACCACCACCACCACCACCACCACCACCACCACCACCACCACCACCACCACCACCACCACCACCACCACCACCACCACCACCACCACCACCCACCTGCGCCCACCACCACCCACCTGCACGTCAGCGTCGAAGAACGAGCCGAGCCCGTCAGCGCCGTAGAGCGGCGGCGAGTGCGTGACGTTCTTCCAGAAGCTGCGCTCGATGGACGTCTGCATGTCCGCTAGGGTTAGCTTCCCACCCACGTGCCTGCACTGCTTGCTCCGCCTGCTGTGCTTGCTATGTTTGCACTCCTTCTGACGCGCATCCCCGTCACCGTCACCTCTACCGTCGCCACGGCTGCTGCTAAAATGCTGCTGCTGCTGCTGCTGCTGCTCCACATCCCCACAACTAGCGTCTCCGGTCCCTTCGCAGCGAGCAACGCACGTAGAGTCTCCATCCTCGTTACTAGCCTCCTCCCCTTCGTTACAATCGCTACCAACAGCTTCTGCAGCGTCACTCGCGCTAGCGGCATTAGCGGCGTCAGTCGCGTTCCCCAAGCAGCAGATATCCCCGTCGTCCCCCCACGGGCCGCGGTGCTCCTTCGAGTGCGCCGCGGCGCGGAACTCACGCACCGTAACCGACTTAGTCTCCACGTGGATCGACTGAAACACGCCGCGACTGCCGGACACGTGCTGTTTAATCGGCTTCGGGATCGTCCAATCCTCCACGTCCTCGTACCCACGTGATCGCGGCTGCCACTCAGGTGGGGGTTCAATCACGCAGATCCCGTATTCCCACGCCTCGGCTTCGATCTGCTCCACGTAAGCCTCGAATCCCGCCGCCATTTCCTCTAGAGTCGGCCGGAAGATCGGCACTTGCGCGTCGCCGAGCATGCCGCCAGCCGGAAATGCGCGGCGTTTAAAAGCCCGCCGCATTTGGGTTTTGTTTTTTCGTCTGCAGCTTTTGCACGAATCGCGGAGTGCGGGGGGTTTCGGCTTTCCCTGCGGCTTTCGAGTCGCCTAGTGGCAGCGGGTTTTGCCTGCGCTATCCTGCGCCGTATCTCTAGTCACCGTGTTTTTGCCTCGTCTTTGAGGTTTTTCTCTCGCTCGATTCTCTCGTTTCCGCCGTTTCCGCCGTTTCCGCCGATTCTAGCAGCTCTCCGCTCCCCACCCCCTAACGGACCAGCACGCTGCTGCGAGAAACTACCAGATCTGGACGTGAACAGTTGACGGAGCGCGGACGGAAGGTGGACGGACTTCAAGCAGCCTCCTCCCGAGGAGCGTGAACGAAAGGTAGAAGGAAAAAAGCCGGGTGAAAAGGAAAGCGAGTGCTTTACCTAGAGTTTATCTCGCGAGGACGAGCCGCGGGGACAGCGGAAAGAGATTACCTGCGACGGGAGTTAGCGCGTGGCGAGGCGAGGAGAGGGCAATCGATCTAAGCCTGGATCATACGGCTCTGACCAGAAGAGGGTAATCTCTTGCTTGCCTGGTGGTGTTGTGCAGGCGTGTGTGGTGTGGTGTGGTGTGTGTTTTTGTGTGGTTCAATGTGGTCGCATGGTGTGCTGTGGTCCATTCCCCCTTCCCTGCACTGCAACCTCCCCTCCTACTCAGGCCTTTGCCTTGAGGGCGTTTGTCGTCTCGTGGCTCGTGTGACTCATGAGACTCGTGAGATGTGCTGGGTGGGTGCTACATGCGCTGGCGTGTATCTAACGTACCGTACCGTATGCTGCTCTGTATGCTCCCGCGACACCGATATATGCTTGTATCGCGGATTCAGACACAATACGCCTAAGCCAGCTGTGTTCACGACAACAGGGAGCAAATCTTCTGGAAGCATGGATGGAGGAGGAGGCTCTGTTTCTGGCTGGGTGGATGGACCAGCCAGAAGAGTCCAGGTGTGCTCTGCACAAGGCGAAGCTCAATGGTGTAGTGATTTGATACCAGCGCAAATGCACTAAATTCATTAGGGCGTGTTAAATCCCCACACAATCCCGAAAATGGGGTGGCCTAATTTTAGACAACCAAATGGTCGTCATATTTTTCGCGAACAATGACGAGGTGGCCGAATCAGAGTTGTTACGAATAGTGACTAATGAAGCATCACTGTGCACTCCTTACCGCAACAATCGAAGCACGTACTATCGAGGCTGAAGACGAAAAGGCGGAAGTGACGCGAAGGGTCGTACAGTTACGAAAGGATCTCGACCGTTGGGCAGACAGCATCAGGCAGCAGCAGTGGCGAGGATTCTGCCCAGACAGTTTGTAACCGTTTGGAGTCGCACGGTTGGGTTTCGCTGCAATAAGGGAATGTACTGCAGGGCCTATGTTTGGTTTTTGGCTACTCACGATTAGCAGTGTAGCCTTCTTCAAAACCCTTCTGATCATTGTGTAAATTTTCGTTACACTGATACATCAGTGTAATATTGAGTTTCAAAAAATTTACACCAGAGCATCAGTGTAGTTTTTTTGTGTACCCTTATCGCAAATACATATTACTACCGTAAGCCCCCGGATATAAGCGCAGGCCTCGGATAACAGGGCCCAAATTTCAAGGGTATTTTACCCTTTTTGCCCTGCTTATAGGCCACTTTTTGGCAGTTACCCTTTTCAAATCAGGGTATGCAGATTTTTACCCTAGTGCAATCAGAATACGCTTAAAAGTACTCTTGTAGCTTTTCCAGTTACACTGACTGTATCAGGGTAGGGGTTCAACTACCCTTTTACCGGAACTTTTCCGTACCGCGGATTCCGCCACAGTCCGCGCCACGACGAAATGCTCCACGGTCCCACTGGACCATTTGTTGGATACACCCACTGGCGCGCCAACGTACATTCAGGGCGGATGGCACCGCACACCTACGATTGGTCCGTTGAGCGACATTGAAGCCAACGCACCCAGTTTCCGTGCGTCACGCAACATCGCGCACTGCCAACGGAGGCAAATTGCGCGCCAGGTGGGGTACGTGCTGTCGTTTCCACCACCTGGCAGTCACTGTGGCCTTGCAGCCATTGCCGTGCAGTTCCCTACCAGCGAGGGAACTGAGAAAAGTAGAACGAGAATGAATGAACTATGAATGAAGTGAGTACATATGGGAAACCCTAATTGGGTTGTACCCCCTATGGGATACCCCACTATAGCCTACACAACAGCATAAGCTATATATATGTTCTGACACACCCCCATAGGCAAAGTGGGGGAGAACAAGGGGTCACAAGACCAGTCAAGCAAAGCAGAGCAAGCTCAGGGTGGATCACAAAGTCACCACACAGTCCGAGCACAACGACAGGGCAACAGGGCCAGTTCACATGCAGGAGTACACATATATATATAGAGCTAGACAAGCAAGAGCAGGTATATATATGTGACAGTACAAGCAAGGTCAAGAAGAGAGCAAGTGAGGCAAGACAGGTACAAGACCCAGCTGGGTGCAGAAGCGCTGATGGTCACAAGGCGCAAGTGCCTTGGTGAACACATCAGCAGTGTTGGCCTCAGAGGCCACGTACGCAAGTCGCAACTGACCACGCTGCTGCAGCTCACGAGCAAGAAAGTAACGGAGAGCAATGTGCTTCGTTCTGTGCTCCAAGCGCTGCTCTCGACACAAGGCCAGCATGGCCTTGTTGTCTACGTACAACACTGGAGGAGAACGAGGCGGCTCTCCAAGGTCAGTCAGCAGGTAGGTGAGCCAGCGAAGCTCCTGTGCAGCCATGGCCCCGGCGTAGATCTCAGCCTCACAACTGGAGCTGAGAACAGAGGACGAGCGAGTAGCCCGCCACGAGACAGAGCCGGAACCAAGACTGAAGGTGTAACCCTGCGACGACCGCTGTGTAGCCTGGTCGTCTGCCCAAGAAGCGTCCGCGAGCCCAGTGAGGACCACTGGACTCCGCCCTCCAAGCACTAGCCCCATGCCCGACGTACTGCACAAGTAGCGCAACACCCTCTTCGCTGCAGCCATGTGCTCTGGTCGGTGTCTCCCAGGAGCAACATAGCGTGAAAGAATGCTAAGAGGGTATGCAAGGTCAGGTCGTGTGCAGGTCATCAGGTACATGAGGCAGCCAACAAGCTCTGGGTACGGGCCACTCGACTCTACGGACTCATCCGAAGGCAGAGCTGAGAGCGAGTGGCGAGTAGACAGAGGAGTGGCCTGAGGCGAGGAGTACGTGAAGCCGAAGCGCTGAAGGACCTGCTGCACCATGTGTGACTGAGTCAAGGTAATGGTGCGGCGTGCTCTGTCCCGAGTGATCTGCAAGCCAAGGTAGCTGCGCAGTTCACCCAGGTCTGTGCACGTGTGTCTCTTCTGCAGCTCGGACTTCACGTAGGCTAGTCCAGCAGTGTCAGCTGTGGCAAAGACCAAGTCGTCGACGTACACGAGGACGTAGAACGGCGGCAAAGAAGTGTCGGTGCGCAGAAACAACGACGGGTCAGCAGTAGAGGGAGCAAACCCAAGAGCCGCAAGCGTAGTCCTCAGTGTGTCGTGCCACTCACGCGGTGCCTGGCGGAGACCGTAGACTGGCCGTCGGAGGCTCCACTGGGTGCCAGGAGGAAAAGTCCCAGTGAAGCCAGGTGGACGGCGCAGCCAGATCTCCTCGTGCAGGCTACCCTGCAAGAAAGCAGTACTGAAGTCAAGAGAGTGGAGCTCGTAGTCGCGCTGAGCGGCTATGTGCAGCAGCACCCGAAGAGTGGTCATCTTCGGGGTGGGAGAGAAGGTCTGAAAGTAGTCAACTCCCTGCCGCTGACTGAAGCCACGAGCGACGTACCGCGCCTTGAAGACAGGTGGAGAGCCCGGCGGCCGCTTCACCCTGAAGATCCACATGCCACTGACGATGTTCGCCCCAGGAGGGGGAACCGCGTCAACGTAGGTGCCTGTGGACTTCCAGGACGCCATCTCTGCATCCATAGCTGCCTGCCACTGAGAGGAGTAGGGACCCTCTACGGCCTCCGCGTAAGAGCGCGGAGTCGGGATGTCTAGTGCATCCGGGTCTCCCTCAGGGGCAAGCAGTACGGACGCGAGATGAGGTGAAGCAGCAGCCAGACACCTGAACTCCTCCTGCCTGTCCTCAAGGACGTCCGTGCCAAGAGCACACTCACCCCCGACGGACGGAGGACAGACAGAAGCAGACTCAGCAACAAGACCGGCAGCGTAGTCTAGACGACAGCGAGCAGCAAAGTCGACGAGCTCAGCAACAAGCGCAGACGCAGCAGTGGACACAAAAGAGGGGTCAGTGACGACAGTAGCAAGGAGACGTGTGACAGCAGGACTGGCAGCACGAAGAGAGTCCGACTCCGGGTCAGGAAGAGCAGGAAGAGAGGACTCAGGAGGAGAAGGCAAAGGGGCACGCAGAGGAGCAGTGGACGGACGCAGAGACATCCGGTGCGTGCCAGGGACAGGAGGAGGACGCTGACGCGAACCACGAGCACTAGTGCGAGCAGCACGGACAGGCGACGCAGGGCGAGACGCAGGCTCACGACGCTCAGCAAGACCTCCAGTAGGACCAGTGTAGGGAGAAGGAGCAGGCAGTGGGGAGGCCGGCTGTAACTGTAACTGTGACAGGACAGGCTGTGGACACTCTAAGGGAGGAGGAGGACCAGTAGAAGGCGGGAGACCAAGAACCTGCTGAAGGAGCGGAACGAAGTACGGTCTAGGCCGCACGGCGACTCCAGACACAGCAGGGACAGCACCAGTACCCCCAGCGGCAGCACCAGCGCCAGTAGCACCTCCAGCTCCAGGACCTCCAGCAGCACCAGTAGCACCCCCAGCAGGACCGCCTCCAGGACCGACAGCAGTAGCCTCAGCGCCAACGCCCTCAGCAGCTCCAGCTCCAGCACCTCCGGGACCCGCGGCACCAGC